TAAGCCCAACACTTTTCAACGTTATGATTAATGACCTATTCGTTTGAATACCCAATAAAATATAAACTTCCAAATACGCGGAAGATGGGGCCCTCTGGGTCCGCACTAGAAGCATAAATATGGCTAAAAAGTTACTGCAGAATGCATTAAATAAAATGCAAATAAGGGTAAATAAATGGGGTTTCTCACTAAATGCCGAAAAAACCACAGGGATAGTATTCAAACACAGAAATATGCGTGCAAACACTCCCAGCTACAACTAAACAACAACAAAAAACAAAATACAATTCCAAAAAGAAACCAAATTCCTTGGACTAATCTTTGATGAACACCTCACCTGGGGTGTTCACATTAAAAACCTAACAAATAGATGCACAAAAGACCTAAACACACTACGCTGCCTGACAGGTTCCAAGTAGGGGGGCCTCCAAGAAGTCCCTACTATCTCTTTACAAATCACTAATTAGATCAAAAATAGACTATGGATGCCAAATATACAACACCTTAAACTCCTCATTAAGAGATAAACTAAACTCAATTCAATATCAAGCACTCAAGATAATCACACGCACTCAGCATGGCACACCGAGCATATCGCTACAGGCACTAACAGGCGAAATACCCCTGGATCTACGCCGAGAACATCTAACAATAAATAACTGGGCCTCAACCCAACAAAAAGGCCAAAATCCAACAGATCCTTAAAACTAATAAGAGCCCCAGACTCCAAGCTCTAGCTCGCAAAAACCCTCAATTAACATCAATCTCTCAACGCATAATAAATTACCGAAATACACACAACCTAAATTATTTACAGTTAAACACAGTCCCAAATAACACCTTCACACCCAAACTCCGACCCCCCAAAATCGACATATCTCTCTCCACCAGACTAAATAAAGGAACTAATCCAAATACCGCTAAATCCATCACATTTGCATACATTCACGAAAAATGTCCAAATTGGTGTCACATTTACACAGACGGGTCCTTTGACCCTGGCTCAAAACGCACAGGATTCGGCATCCATATCAACGAACCCCAAAAAGAAACACAATCATATGGGCTCCCAAATGAACAATCAATTTTCACAGCCGAATTAATGGAGATACTATCCAAGGAATTTGGTTTCTTTTTTGAATTGTATTTTGTTTTTTGTTGTTGTTTAGTTGTAGCTGGGAGTGTTTGCACGCATATTTCTGTGTTTGAATACTATCCCTGTGGTTTTTTCGGCATTTAGTGAGAAACCCCATTTATTTACCCTTATTTGCATTTTATTTAATGCATTCTGCAGTAATTTTTTAGCCATATTTATGCTTCTAGTGCGGACCCAGAGGGCCCCATCTTCCGCGTATTTGGAAGTTTATATTTTATTGGGTATTCAAACGAATAGGTCATTAATCATAACGTTGAAAAGTGTTGGGCTTAGAATGCTACCTTGGGGTGTGTCATTTTCTAAGGGACACTGGTCCGATAGCGTTTGGTCGATACCAACGGTTATTTTGCGATAAGTTAGGAAGTCTTGGATATAGTTTATTATTTGGCCTTTAAGTCCTGCTCTTTTTTCAGTTTTTGCATTAGCCCGTTATGTCATACCATGTCGAAAGCTTTAGAGAAGTCTAGAAATATGGGTCCCACGATTTACAACCTCGTTGACACCACGCCATGACGATATCGAATGATGAATGCGAGGTAATTTCGCGTATTAACACCTCTTAAGGTCGGCAGTGTCACCCTTTATACTCGTACAGTTGGGCTACGAGTTCTGATTTTATACGTAGAGCCGACCTTTAAGGCCTAACAGCGGTACCACGAGACAATGCCTGTAGACCTCTAGGGTTAACCTCTTATAATACTAACATCGTTATACTGTCCCCTTTAAGACAACGGATGTAACGTTATGGACAAACGCTCGCGAGTTATTTTGACAGATATATACCGTAACGTAGTGCTTTAAGGTAATGCGTGTTTGCATTACGAGTTAGGTATGTATATATCTATTGCCCCGTCAATATGATCGATGTATGTTTATTCTTGAAAACGTATAGACGGCACGGGAACAAAGTTGTCAGGATGTCCGAAGCTATAAGTAAAGGGGACATTGCTACCATGGTAATGATGTAGGTTTGAGTGCGGGTCATTGACCCGGAACTGTCACGTGATTGTCCGGCGTAGTACGTTCATTTGTTATCCGGCTGGTCACGTGATTTTGATCGCCGGACCGTCATCGCGGATTTATCATTGCGGCTCGAGCTGTTGGAGATATCGGACGTGAAAATGGATTCTCCAGATTTAAGCGCGGATTGCGACGCTAGTGTCGACTACGGATGTAAATGTTTGGATGCGGATAGCTGTCGGAGTTCGTGGACAGTGAAGTCGGATATTATGGTCATTCCCGATCACCCTTCCTACAGGTATTTTAAAAATCGTTTAGATACCTACTACAAATTTCCTATTCAAATTAAGCAGACTCCTCTCGAGCTGGCCAGGTGCGGGTTATTCTACACGGGAATGAACGATTGCGTTCAGTGCTATATGTGCGGTATTAAACTGTACAAATGGAAATATGAAGACAAAATATTACAAGAACATAGAAGACATTCCCCCAACTGCGTCTACCTGAAGACCGTATTTGGCTCACCAGCCACGACGATTTAAGACGTCGTCAACATCCACGTGTACAGCGTACGCACAGGTTCCTTACGGAACCACCAAATGTCTCAAAAGAAAACCTTTAACATTTTGCTGAGACGCTTTCAATAAATATATCCTTTCTCTATTTCTTTTTTCAGCTGGAGAATTTCACTTTGTATTTTTTGAATTTCTTTTTTATTATTATTGTATACACTAAGTATAGAATAGCATTCACTAGGTTTAATTATGAATAAGTTACATAACAGCGCTCAAATCATAATGGGGTAGGACCCTGGGTGGAGGGTGGAGGGGTGGGACCCCTGGGTGGGGGAGGGGACCCTGCGGGTAGAAATCAGCCAATGAGAGGACAGAAATATATGACGTCATTACTCTGGGTTAGGAGGTGGGGGAGGGGGACCCTGCGGGTAGAATCAGCCAATGGGAGGGCTGCAATATATGACGGGCAGAAATCAGCCAATGGGAGGGCTGCAATTAAAAAACGGGCATAAGTGCACTGTATACTACTGGCCTCTTAATCCAAAATCATGAAGATCTTTTAAAATACCATGTTTCCATGTTGTATCGTAAGGTTTTTCTAAATCGAAAAAGATCGATACAGCATGTTGTCTATTTACAATGGAATTTTTAATGAACGTTCTAAACGCACTAAATGATCGATAGTACTTCTGTTCTTCCGGAAACCACATTGTATATTGGTAAGAAGATTATTTGTTCCGAAGTACCACACTAATCGATTATTGACCATGCGTTCCATCGTTTTACAAACACAGCTAGTTAGTGAGATAGGTCGGTAATTTGATGGATCAGAATGATCCCGCCCAGGTTTGGGTATTGGTATAACAATGGCATTATGCCATGAAGGTGGAAACGTCCCAGATGTCCAAATGTCATCGAATATAGTCAACAAAGGTTTAAGGAATGATTCGGGCAAGTGTTTCAGTAGCTGATAATGAATATTATCAGCGCCTGCTGCTGTATCATGAGCTTGCCCTAAGGCAGTATATAGCTCATGTAGTGAAAATACCTCATTGTAATCTTCACCATTATCAGATCTAAAATTTACTTTTTCTTTTCCTGTTGGAGCTGATGTTTTTGAAATTCAGGAACATAATTTGATGAAGACGAATGTTGAGATAATGTTTTCCCAAGTCTATTGGCAATAGCAGTTTTATCAGTTAGTAAAGTATCGCCATCCTTCAGATGGTTAACTGTAGAATGTGATCCCTTGCCTTTGATCCTTTTGATCATGTTCCATACCTTGGACATAAGGGTACGAGAGTTAATTTTTGAGACAGAATTCTGCCAGGATTGACGTTTAGTTTGTTTGAATAGACGTCTCGCCTTAGCATATGAAATTTTGACGGTATTCAAGTTATGGACAGTAGGCTGTTTATGGAAGTTTTTCTCCGCCTTCTTACGACATTTCCTAGCATGTTTGCAAGTGTCATAAAACCATGGTTTACGAACACGTGGGTTGACGGAGGAATTGATTCATCAACAATTATTTTCAGTTGATCTGAGAACAACTGAATCGGGTCAGTAACATTCTGAAAAGACGTAGGTTGTAATTTATCTTTGCATAAAGATTGAAATAAAGGCCAATCAGCCTTCACAAAATTCCATCGAGGTGAAGGTGGATCATCAGCGGGATTAATGGGTTTGAGCACCTTGGGGAAATGGTCACTCCCACATAGGTCATCATGGACGGACCATGAGAATTCATTCAACAAAACTGAATCCGTCAAAGACAGATCTAATGATGAATACGTACCAGTTGCAGGGTGTAAGTAGGTGTCCGAGTCATCGTTAAAGATGCAGAGGTCATTATCAGAAACAAAATCCTCGATCACTTTTCCCTTCTGATTAATGGTTGAACTTCCCCATGAAGGATTATGCCCATTTAGATCACCCATGATGACACAGGGCTTTGGGAGCTGGTCGTTTAGTTTTTCTAGATCATTACGCTGAAGATTTGAAGATGGAGGAATGTATAAGGAGCAAAGTGTGAAGGCAATATGCAGTGTAAGTCTAAAGAACAAGGTGAACATTTATCGTTTATGGAAAATATGCAGAATGAAGCTTAACATTTAGCAATACCATCTGGCATGTTGAGACGTGTGAAAAGTAATTGTTTATAAAATCGCATGATACTTCACACCATGCTTGCAGAGGTGACTACTTGTTTCTATTTGGACTTAGGTGTAAATGATTCTAATAGAAACTGGAAACAGGTAGATTTAAAATACATACATGGGCGAATACAAACGAACACCAGCTTTCATTACCAGCATCACCTGCTGTTATCATCTTCCCTATGCTGATTTACCATTTTTCTTATTGATCAGGTACTGGAACAAACGTTGCTCGGAACAAACCCGCATGGATGAGCTCAGTCTTTTACTTGAGTCCTCCAATCAGTACAGCTGTCGATGGAGTAACACTTGCAAACGAATTCAAATACTCAGTCGTCACCAACACGCTTCAACCAAGCGCCTGGTGGAAGGTGGATCTACAAACACAAGTACAGTCAGCAAGGGTTAACCTGTACTTCAGTACACACTGTACGTATAGATTCATTTCCTGGAACGCCATGTCATGCAACTATCATCACAATAGAAACCTGACCACAATGAAATCGTAGTCTTTTTCTGGATATGTGTATTGAAATTCAAAACTATGTTAATCACTGTGTCAAGGCTAATTGGGGAATTATTGCGATTATAATATCTAGTAATATACCATCATAAATATAAATATATACATTCTTTAGAGCATGTACATTTCTTTCATATTTCACGGAAAAAGACATCATGTTTACTGCTAATCCTTTGAATAAAGGTTTGACCGCCGGAAGCCTTGTTAAGTCATTCCAGATATTTCACGGCAAACATTCAGTACAAATGTGCTAAAATGACACGTCGCTTGTCAACATGATGCGCTATGCTATACCGTATTGAACCTTCACATTGAGTTTCACCACACCTGTCTCACTGTCACATATTGTTTTAAGGATCATTCTGTGAGTAGCGGTTTCTACCAGTAAAGCATGACATGCTTACATTTTTCATGAACACATTCATATATAATTGTCATAACTATTTTGGGTTTTACGCCCCATGGAATCCGTTTCTGCAGATAGTCGTTACTGATTATAGTGGTGTTGATTTTTTGAATATTTTCGAAGGAACCCTAATCTATCTAAACGATTCATGGTTTACCCAATAGAATAAGTCGCGGCAATGACATAATTAATTTGGGGTCTCGAGATTGTGGCCAGAGGTCTACAGTTGTGACATCAAGGAATAAGACATTTATATATCCATTTAATAAATCGTCGCCACGCTATATTATAATCCAAAATACATTTTCAACCATACCACACTGTGAAATTATATACTCATATCCAATCTGTTGATGTTATGTGTTGATAAAGCCATGATATGGAGGTGTGCATGAAGCAGACACTCGGCTATGTCCGCTAATTATTTGCTAATTGGAAGAGGACTTAATACAGGCATTATAATCAATTCAGATTTGGCTGTTTACTCGTTACAACATTCTCTAAGAAAATACATGCTTTGTCAGTTGCTCCTTTGTGTGTTTACACTATAGTACGTATTGTACTTGTATCAACATCGTAGTTTTGTTTCATAACTTTTTAATACGTTTACTTACAAATGCTGGATATTTAGCTGGATTAAATTTAACAATTATCCGTAAATATTTACAAGAAAACATTGATGCAGAGCATTAAAGTTCCCCGCCATATGTGATGCCTCACTGACGCATAATTATTATGTTACTGAAAGGTTGGTTGTTTGGTTGGTTTGTTGTGATTGACATCATGAGAATCGATCCACGCAATCAGGATTGATGACATGCATCTACCAAGTCAGCGAGCCTGACCACCCGATCCCGTTAGTCGCCTTTTACGACCAGCATAGATACCTTTTATGGCAAGCATGGGTTGCTGAAGACCTATTCTACCCCGGATCTTCACGGGTCGTTACTGAAAGGCATGAAGGAGCATAATCATATTAACCACAAATAAGACAACACAATAATAATATCGGGCATTACAGTTGATACATTTGCATAGGGTAGGTCTATTTAAAAAGAGTTTTCTTGTGCAACGCCCACTCAGCATTATTCCAGCTATTTGGCGGTGGACTGGAAATAATTGAGTCTGAACCAGACAATCCAGTGACTGACATCAAGAGCATCGGACTACGCAATTGGAATATTATGACATGCATCAACCAAATCAGCGAGTCTGACTATCCAATCCTGTTCGTCACCTCTTACGGCAAGCAAGGGTTGCTGAAGACCCATTCTAACCTGGGTCTTTACTGAAAAAGTAGATCGAAGGAAATGGAAGCAATTTCTGGCACAAATGTAAACATGTGAAAATAGTATCAAAACTGCCAACAATATTGGCAGATGCACATACTCAAAAAACAGATCACCTTCTCTTACAACTGGCAAAGTGAGGCATTTGGTTATGATAATGAAAATGAAAATACAAATGGTAAAAAGGTCATACTAGATGAGTGAGTTGGGTTTAACGCCACTTTTATCATTCCAATTATATCAGGGCTAGTCAACTTATAATGTGGGAGGAAAGCCCGAAGTGATGCAAGTCTCCGACGTTTACCACTTCGGTGAAACCCACGAGCACATGTATTGTGCTGTCAAACCTAGAAACATAATTGGGGCGAACCCACAATCACAGATTTTTTGCGTGCCAAAGGGACGCATAGTCAGCATAGCGAATCGCGTCGCCTTAGACGCCTGGGCCACCCGTGCCCCAATACTAGATGAGGTCTTTTTTTACAACCACAGAACATTTTAATACCAGAATGGCGATTCCTCGTCTCTTGTTTTACGTTTTATGGTAAGTTTCTTTTTTTGTATTTCTTTCCTTCAAAGAATAGTAATTATGATCATGATGAGTTGAGGTTACTTGATCTTTTTTATGTTCTGTTTTTTGTCCAGTGTCAGTTACTGTTGTGGAATGTGATTTACTTGTAACAATGCCTGAGTTCATATGATGATGATTGTTAACATGTAACATAACAATTCATCCATACTACCAAACAGAAGGAAAACTTCTTGTCCATTCGGATCACTTCCTCCCAAATCACTCCGCTGATAAGAGTCAAATAATGCATACGAATCAACATCCGTAAATATTGCAATGGAGACGACAATAAAAGTTTCCAAAAGTGACTGGGATATCAATATTGCTTGTTTGAAATGATTCCAGGAAATTTGTTTCCCGTGCTTCAATTTTTGGAGCACCTGTGACGGGGCCATACAACTAATCTGTTGTGTAGACAATGTCGGTTAAGGCAGTGGCTGCTTAAGGCTGATTATGACCTAAATACCCCTCATAGTCTTCCGTGTTAACTATGTGACCATAGAGAGCTGTGCCTTCATGCAACAGATTATAGAGGTCAATGGAACACGGCACAGACGCAAATAGATTTGAGCCCTGGGACACCAAGTTTATGATAACGACCCGAGCTACGGATGTACATTGATTTCCATTAAACGGTTGAACAATACTACAACAGCCTTGATGCAAATTCGCCGACACACTACTCCGATTCAGCTTTAACTTTGCTACCAAACGTTTCACACGTGACTATGTGCACTGATTAAAAAACACGGGGGTCTGCGTTAATTCAAAATACGGAATATAACTAATAATTTTTACATAAATAATAAGTTTTAAAAATGTCAGCTAATGACCAGATGCATCAATTAATTACACAAAGACGATTTTGAAGTATCTCTTATTGCTGGAAAAGAATAGCATCAACATTTCACGCACATGATTTGTATGTTTTGTTTCGGTAACTGTGTGGCTTGAAATTTCATATAAACCAACATGTCGACATACTTGCTATAAAATTACCTTTCCCGTATACCTCCCCGCCTTCAGGGCGGGGAAGAATAAAACAAATTCAAGTGTTGTTGCAGCAGAAAACACACACCGCAATTGCACACAGCTCAACTCTTCGTTGCAAAACAGTACCGTCGTTTTAATCAAGCAAGAGTGTGACGTACAATTGTTGGAAATACTGACGGCACCTAAATATCGGCTATATATATAAAATGTGGCATGACCTTCAATGCTATAGCTAAACGCAATGGTTTCTAAATATAATTCTGACCTGCTTACATAAACTGAATATGAACCCACGGCATAGCGTGTACGGTTTTGCTTCATTAATGTCCTACATTAAGTAAAGTATACATTCATACTTGTTTCAGACAAGTATAGGCGTAATGGCGTGCAGCTCTACACATCTACGACAAATTCCGCTGACCCCAAAGAAGGAAATCTATGTCACAGTGTAACAGGAAGTCCTAACGGTACAGACATCCCTGATGTGCTGAATGTCACCTGTCCCGGGACCTGGCGCTACCTGACTGTCTACACAGAGACTGCTAATGATAGACTTGGTCCTGTATTAGACTTTGTTGAAGTACAGGTGTGGAGTAAGTAACCTGTTGGGCGTGAAATAGTATATACATTCAAGAAGCTTGTTTAAAAGAATACCAAGCAATAATATTGTGTCATTTTAAAGTTAGGTATGCCTTTATATATTTTACAAACTGATAACACGAAGACTACTTTTCAGTTCAGTTACGTCAATGTATTTATTTTTGTTGTCCACATGTGGGAACTAGTCGGGGAGGTGACACCAACACCACACACTTCCCTTTGGAGATCTGTGTTCAATTACCTCATATCCCAAAGAACTCATAATAGTTGTATCGAGTGGCACTAATTTGTTTCTTCGGGTACTATGATATGAAGCTAAGTGTTCAGTGTATATTTGGACTGATGTTTGAAATCTTTTTTTATTAATTTTCCTAAAAACTTCATGCGAATTCCCAACTCACCGTTATGAAGAGCGCGGAAGCCACGACGTTGACTGGTCAGATTGTTTCATACATAAAATATTACCGGCAACTGCCAATGGGCGACAAAAAGCTGCAACTATAATAACACGATACTGGAATATATGATTCTTGATAAAATACCGGTTTCAGAGAGAATTCTTTCAACTTTATAGTTGGGTATTTTCTAGATTGGGGGGAAACATGTGTACAGCTGCTTGCTGTTTCATGCTTGGTTGACGAGAAAATAGACAAGGTGACCTTAATCTTTGCATATAAAACAATATGTAGCAGATTAGGAAGGACAATACAAATGGTAAATCATTAGGTATAGCTATTTCAGATTTTCATTGACCAAGTTTATTGTCACCTGTTCGTTTACCTGAATTCACTGAAGGGATACATGTAGGTTTTTTCTGCCCATAATATTTGAAAAATTTGTATTTATTGTGTTTGCAAAGTTATGTTTATTAATTCGATACTAATATATTATAATGGCATCAAAAACCGACGTGTACCAGTGTTGTGGTATATTGATCCAGACCTAGTTGTGGTAACTAAATAGTTTGTTATTGGAGCATGTGTCACACTTTACACATGTGATCTTTTTCACATGTTGACCTACCGCCATGTTTCGTAATGTGTTACATACCTAAGGGATTAGTAAATAAAAGGCTTTTGAATCAAATATTGGACACAATGTCCATAATGATTACAGTGGGTCTTGTGTATCACATTAAAAAACAATCATTATTTCACGTACACTTTACTTAATAGTGACATTCAGAGATGACTGATAAATAGTCCAGCATGCCACACTGAATATTATGAAGAAAACTATAACTAATTATGCAACCGTCGCTGCAGGAAGAGATCCAGATGACTGTGTACATTAAAATACGACGTTCCTATTTAGTACCATGCCCTTCTGGGTATTATGGATCAAACTGTAACCAATCCTGTGCTGCACGTCACTGCAAGTCGGACTCCAGCTGTGACGTCATGGGACTGTGTGTTGGTGGATGTGCGGCTGGATATCAGGGAACAGACTGTACTCAAGGTAATGTTTATTAAAATTAGATTTAATTGATTTAGTAAATACGTTGTGTTTATAGTTAATTCATCACCGTGTATATGTCTGAATACATATAAAACAAACTAAAATTATTGTCAAGATATAGTATACATTATGCCACTTTCGTACTCAGATATGTGGATTAAAGAATATATATTTTCGTGTTTAACGTCGCCCTCAGCAATATTCCAGGTATATGACGGCGGTCAGTAAATAAACCTGACTGCATGACAATCCAGTGATTGACATCATGAGCACTGAACTACGCAATTGGGATGCATCATCAGCGACCCGATCCCGTTAGGCAACTCTTACGACAAGAAAAGATGCCTTAACATGTTGTAACACATCATGCATGATATTTTTCTAAGCTCCTAAGGATTATTTTTGAAAATGAATATTAAACGCCGATGTCACTCGGTTCTGTCACGTGTCAGCCTTGGTTGAGCCCTGCTGGCAACAAATGTTTTCTACGAATTTTGAAGTCATTAACTTCAGTGTAAAAATCAACAGTAACATAGCTCTGAAATGTAGGCATGAACAACTGACAATAAAATGTCTGACTAGAGAAATTTTTGGGGTTGTTAAAGCAATAGAGTCCCAGGATGTTTCGAAATGACAATAAAACTCTATGAAAGTGTAGGTGACACTTGCCAGAGAATAGTTTCGATTATCCGATGAATAAGATTCCATAAGGTGCAAAACGCAAACTTACTGTGAAAAATATATGAATGGATCACTAAAAATCAGCGATGACGCCAGGTGTTCGCAAAACGGGGTACCTGTAGCCCAATATGGATCAGTTCGGAGTCCAATCGTTTCTTTATTTGCACGTAGAGTGTTCTATGCACTTGATAAATGCAATAAATGCTCAAATGCATTTAAACTCTAGTTGAACTCAAGATAAGGTCTTATGGAGAATGTCACCCCTTTGTCATTTTTCATCACTGCATCTCATGAAACCTTCACTGAGGGAAAAGGACGCGGAGTTTCTACGACCTACCTGATTCATATCTCTGTCGTATGTCAACAAAATTCAATTTTAAGATGTGCCTACTTCGGCTTATATACAAACTCAGACAAAGTGAATTTGTCGTGATAAGTAAACTGATCAAATATAAGATTACTGATTGTGAACTTCATTTTGAGTCCATTTTTAGCAATATCCCAGCAATATTACGACGGCGGACACAAGAAATGGTCTTCGCATTATGAATCCATAATTGTAGGGATAGAATGTAACAAGCAAACCATTAGGCTAACCCATCGCGCAAATTACTGATAAAAAAAACGAGACTACTTATTTGGAAAACTACAAAACAGTCACGCCATTCCATTCATCACCTAGATAGTATACTAGCCACATAAAGAAACTGTGCACGGAGTAAATATAGATAAAAGGGCACACCGTCCATATATGAAATATAGGTTTGAACACAGCAATTATTGGAGACATTCAAACGCTCATGCACATGCCATGCGATATGGCGTCATTGATGGGGGCCTATGGACGTGCAATGTGTTACTGCACGTGCATCCTGTGCAGCTGTACACAGCATGTGCAACTCAAAATTCGCTGTCACTTTGGAAAGCATGATCTGTGGTCATTCAAAAATTCAAAACTTCTCAGGCGCAGACACAAGCATATCACAAGCAAATGATGCCAAGATTGACAGCTTCACAGCGTCATGAAGCCATCCGAATGATCCGAGCGGGAAGGAGGCAACAACAGGTGGCAACACATTTCCAATGCCATCGTAACACGATATCGGCATTGTTGAGGCGTTATCAGAACACAAATGACGTTGCCGACCACCCACGTTCAGGACGTCCCCGAGTTACGATGCCAAGACAGGACAGATGGATTCGAGTTACACATCTCCGACACAGGTTCCAAACGGCAGTAACGACGTCCCAGACAATTCCTGGACTGCGCCGTATCCATCCCAACACTGTCAGGAATCGGTTACGTCAGTACGGGATTCGACCACGACGCCCTGCCATACGTCCCATCCTGACACACCGTCATCGAGTCAACCGTCTAAGATGGTGTCGAAATCATGTTCGCCAACCTCGAATATGGTGGAGAATATGGTCTTTACAGGTGAATCGAGGTTCAACATTTCCCACAGTGACGGGCTCTAAGGTGTCTACCGGCGTTATGCACGCAACTGTATTGTGGAGAGGAATCGTTTTGGAGGTGGCTCTGTGATGATTTGGGGTGGGATAACAGCACGGCACCAAACCCCTTTGGTGGTTGTTCAGGGCAATCTCACCGGTGTTGGCTACAGAGATCAGATTCTGAGGCCTGTGGTCATTCCTTTCCTGCAACGTCATGGCCCGGGATTGACATTTCAACAGGACAACGCTCGTCCTCACACGGCTAGGGTCGCAATGGATTTCCTTCACCATAACAATGTCATGTTACTGCCATGGCCTGCGATATCTCCGGATCTCTCCCCAATAGAGCATGTGTGGGATGAAATGGGGCGCCGTCTGCGTCGTCTTCCACATCCTCCAGATAACGTCCGTGATTTGGCACAGGATTTGAGGAGGATATGGCAGGCCATTCCCCAGGCCTTCAATGCCCATTTGATGGACTCCATGCGTCGCCGATGCACTGCTCTGATGCACGCACAGGGTGGTCATACCCGTTATTGACTTTGTGACTTTGTCGTTTGACCCCCCTTCTCCATTGTGATCTTCTGACGTCATCGTAAAAGATGTTGTTCAGGTCCTGTTGACATTTTCTTATGGTCCGATCATTCAGCTGCTACAGCGTCTGCATCATTTTGTTCTTGCTGTGTTGTATTTCAATCCAGAACATATTTTCTCCGTGCACAGTTTCTTTATGTGGCTAGTATAGATACCTTGTCTCATATTTTGCATTAACCAGCCAGGACACCGCATACATTTGAATATGACATTCCTATATACTAGCATGCGCCCCTGAGTAGTATGGAGCTGACTGTGGCCAACTCTGCGCTGACCGCCATTGCAAGATGGTCTCCAGCTGTCCTTACTTAAATTACAAGACGTATTTCGTTATGTTGTCTCCTAATACAGTCACCTCATATCGAAAATTAAAGATGTTATAAACGGTTTTGTTTGGGAAAAAGATCAGTTTGTATTAATGTTGGGTCTCTCTTCTATCAATCCAAGCTTAAGAAAATAGCTCTGGTTGTCATAAATGAAGTGAATTCGGAAAACACTAAAATACTTACCTTTCTGATTATAAAGAATGAAGCGAATTTAGCGAAGTAAACTCATTGCTCATCATCCCTCTCAGCCTGTGATCCTGGGAGATATGGAGAAGGATGTAGCAAGTACTGCGGGAGGCGTCGCTGTAAGACACCATCTGACACATGTGATCACGTGACTGGCAGGTGTCCTGATGGCTGTGAAAGTGGTTTCATGGGAAATGACTGTTTCCATAGTAGGCATATTGATTCATGTGTTTCTTAACGCATTTCACAAATGTTTTATATTGGCAACAGTTCATGTTAGTGATTTAAACATTTCACTCCAGAGATCAGTGATAAAAACTGAGGATCAAAAGAAACTTTTCTTATCAGTTTTTGGAAATGGTAAAAATATCAAAAACGAAACAAATTGATTCCAACGTTGAATTTGAAAAATATAATCATTTGACGAGATAGAGGCACTAATATATACAATAATCAAATGGCAACATCGAGGTTCACGCAGTCAGTAATTGCTCCCCATTCCTCTCTCTGTCCCTATACAATCTGACCTCTTTTTATTGGGAGATTGACAAGCCGCCGGGTATCAAGCCACGTCAGCAGATCCAGAAAGAACGCCCGTTGCTATTTCCCACGTTGCCAAAGTTGAACTCTACGTGTCCAACGCAAAGGCTAAAGTCGATGTTGCCTTGTCATCGTGTCCCAATGAGCTTTCATCGATGCTCATGATCATGTCAATCACTGGATTGTCTGGTCCAGTCTCGATCATTTACAAACCGCTGTAGTATTGCAGTCACATAAGATGACTTAACATAGAGGAACCTGTTACCTTGGCACAAGGTGAGGAGATAGCAGTCTTCCATGGTTGTGACGGAGTCTTCCAGATCATGACCTGCCTGCAGTCCTTCCAGTCATTCTGTCACGCCGCATGAATCTAGTGGTTATCATACAGTTCATTCTTGTCCCCAAGTGCTACTACACCGATTGCTCTCCCTAAAAGTTGAGCAGTTAGCCTTGTCGCCTGCTTGGGTGTTTTACTGATGATTGATGACCCTATTGTGTCATGGTCGCCTTTTTAAATCCCAATGTGACCAGGTATCATGCTTCTTATGCAGTGAATGTTTGATCCATGTAATCATTTGACAGTGCAGCATCGCCCAAACCAAACAGTGTGCGACGAGCTGTAACAGGTGTCGTTACGTCGAACAATATTGGAACCTGACTTAAATAGTGTTTAGGTCTTAAAACAGGTTTCGGTATATTTTGAATTGATTGTCAGTTTATGACATCAACTAACCGAAAGCTGGGTACTGTTTATGTTCCAAATGATTGGCAGTTTGTTTGAGGATGTAATTTCAATCATATCTGCAGCTGTGAGAACACTTTATGAATTAGTTACACCAGTTTCACTTATGCCTTATTCAGCGTGTACCAGTATGATGTACGGACCTAACTGTACCACTAACTGCAGTTCCCGACACTGTAAGAGTCCCTCCTCTACATGTGACAGAGTGACAGGACAGTGTCCTGATGGATGTGAAGATGGATGGACAGAAATAGACTGCTCTAGAAGTAAGTCACCTTGCACCATAATGATATAATAAACAATATTGATTGTTTTGTTTTTCCTGTTGATTATATAACATATTCGTATTTTTAATTGGTCCAACATAAGAACTGATTGAACAGCAATTGAATTTGAATTTATACATATAAATCAAAATCAACAATATGATAAGTTGATTCAACTTAGTGTTAACATTGCATACACTTGTTAAAAGTTGTGTGTCATTATGACTAAAATTCAAGATAAAAGTAGGTCTACTCCTCTACAGATCGCGGAATTATTCAAAATCTGCTAACGAGTCAAGTGTGATATTCTCTTACAACAAACGTTGACTGATGACCTTATTGTGCCATGGTCGCCTTTGTGTATCCCTATGTGACCAGGTATCATGCTTCTTATCCAATGAAAGTTTGATCCATGAAATCAGGTACAGTGCATCATCACCCATAACCCAGCAATTTGCGACGAGATGTAACTAGCTACGTAACGTCGAACAATACTGGAACCTGTAAATCAATCCATTCACGTAAATTGTGTTTAGGTATAAAAACATGTTTCTGTTTACTTTGTGTTAATCGTCAGTTTATGACATCAACAAATCGAAAGCTTGGTAATGTTTATGTTCCAAAATGAGTGGCAGTTTGTAATTTACATTACAGATGCTATAATTGCAATCATATCTGCAGCTCTTAATGAATTACTTTCAAACTTACACGAGTTTCACTTATGCCTTATTCAGCGTGTACAAGTATGATGTACGGCCCTAACTGTGCCAGCAACTGCAGTTCCCGACACTGCAAGACACCCTTCTCTACATGTGACAGAGTGACAGGACAGTGTCCTGGTGGGTGTGAATATGGATGGACAGAAATAGACTGCTTTAGAAGTAAGTCAACTTGCACCATAATAATATAATAAACAATAATCATTGTTTTTCTATTTCTGTTGATAATATAACATATTCGTATTTACAATTTGTTCAACATAAGAACTGATTGAACAGCAATTTAATTTTAATAAATACATATAAATTAAAATGCACAATATGATACGTTGATTCAACTAAGTGTTAACATTGCATACTCTCGTTAGAAGTAGTGTGTCATTATGATAGCACCGCGTTAGAATTCAAGATATAAATAGGTCTACTCCCCTACAGGTTGTTGAACTATGACACAGAGAGGACATAAAAGCGACAAAACCATTTCCATAATCATAAGAAATATTGAGTAAAAGCTGAGTCCATGAAGAAACCTCATTATTTGAAAACTTCTGTGGGATAATGCTACATGCTATCATGCTTTTTAATGCAGCTATCCTCTTATTATGTTCAAAGGGCATGTACAATTTTGGATAAATATTCCGTTATTTTGCCTTCATGTTTTGCAAGGTAGGAAATAATGTTTTTGAATCCAAAGCTTGCACTTTGATTGTTGCTGGATGTTGTAACGATTGTGAAGTAAATTAAGAGTACATAAACAATAACCCGTCTCCATTTATTGCATCTTTAAAGAGGAATACCTCTATGACTTTAAGTTAACAAATAAAATTACGAATGTATTGCATATATCGTTTGACATCATGAAATGAATCTTAGATGTTACCGGTACTTATAGCTCCTGAAGTGCCACAGAAATCCTATGGGTGTTGATGTGTTGAGATGTAACTGATGTGTGATGTGTTTTTCAATGTAGAGTGCCCCAGTGGATCGTATGGCATCAACTGTAACAAAACCTGTGGCCATTGTGCTAACAACAACACTTGTCATCATGTTACTGGAATATGTCAAGATGGATGTCAAGCTGGGTGGAAACTTGACCTGTGCCAGAAAGGTGAATGGAACTATCCAGAAGAAATAGATGGTCTTATTCTTAAAAAACGGTACTGTTCTTTTGTTTGTACCGCACATTACCTCAAACAAAACTTTAAAATGTGAGATCAACATACAAAGTATACATGTAGTGTATCTGCAAATATACAACTGTTTATTTTCTTTATCTAATTAGCTTGTGACAATGGGAAATTCGGTGTTAACTGTAAGAGAGACTGCGGCCACTGTAACGGAACCTGCGATGCTGTTGATGGAAGATGTCCCTGGGGATGTACTGAGGGATACAATGGTTCTCAATGCTCAGCGAAGCTATGTAAGTTACCTCATAAAGCTCATAATAAATGGTTTGAACATCAGGGATCAGCTGCTGGTTATAAGGCATTAGGAATAATCGATATTTCTAGAATATTGCGATGATATGTTTACGAGACAATGTTGCCGGACGTATGTTTAAATACACGAATTACAACCGAAAATCAAATACAGCCTGCACTTTTATTAATAGTACCTACAAAGCAATAGTACCCCTAGTGTACTAAATAACACCATTGTACATATGAGTATTTGGTTTACGCGGTTTTTGGACATGATTTCAATGCTACAAAATCTGAATAATAACTGATGTCTGTGGTGGTCATCCGCTCTAATTGCCATTGTGCACGTTATGTAGGTGTGATATGTCAGACGTTATGTAATGCGAAATTACTTTGAGGTCATAATTGTCGTGTGGCACTGGACCACGCCAAACCACACCCTTCACTTTTTAAGAAGTCGACTTCCTGAAGTGGCCTCTTCACAACTAGTGTCCTGGCGACAAAATAGTAGAAATCACTGCTGTTGCTATGTAGGTATATACAAGCAGTTTGATAATGCATTTAGCATGTTCCAGAACACACACAGCCCAAACTCCAGAGGATTAGCTTCTTTGATAGCATGTTACTGATGCCAGTTTTATGAACCTCGAATGAAAGTCTTAAAATGGACAGGCTCCAGTATATGCCCATATGCAAGTGCTGCACTGGTTGCACTGCGGCGTAAACTTCAAGTCAATACAAGATGACTCAATTGCAGCTGGGACCAGGGTATTTTGCAGGTGCATCTGAGCAGCGATCCCAAACTGAATGTACCAACGCGTCTAATTGACATCAGCAACATATGTTAATAAACATTTATTAACCGTGTGGCATAAGTTTCTTCTGATGTCAGTTTAAAATAAGAAAATTTTAACTTCTAATCTCGTCTTGCTTTGTAATGATAATCGCAAGTTGTAACTGAATCTTAACTATATTTTATTATACTATATATACTATATATTAACGCTATAACTATAACTCATATTTCAGCTCAACTTAAGCCAAATCCGTCCAAGTTTCCGGTGTCAGCTGTTGTGGGAACTATCGCAGGTTTACTTGTTGCCATCGTAGTCATCGTTGTTGTTGTCCTTGTCAGAAGGTAATTGCTCATAAAATCATTAACAACAAAATACGTTTGGCTTCATACATGTATTCATATCCAATTTGTTCACACGTTTCTTCTTAGCTGGTTCCCACTATTCTATGATGGCAGCAAGAGGTCTTGAGGTTTAACATTTCAAAGAAATTATATGTAAATGTGAATTACAACCACTTGCAATTGCGAAATAATCAAACTTCAACATGTACAAATTTCCTGAGACAAAACAAAAACGTGAATACACTGTAGTTTTGTCTTGATGTATTAGTAGGTAAAACTATGGACGTGATTGCAACAAACTGATGTCTTTTAAAACGAGAGACCTTGTGCTTACATAATAGATGTCCGAGTTACATGTTATAGGCTTGGTCTTATGAGGTAATAGAACACGTAAGTGTTTACGTAATCACGGATCATCCACGATTTGTGTTTACTATCATGTAATATTACCGTATACGTATACAATGCCTTCATACATGCATATCACGAACAACATCATACATGTTGTCAAAGCTTAGTAGGGCCATGCTGATTTTTTTTGTCTTAGTATCTCCTATGCAGGACTCACTATCTCCTACGTGGGACTTAGTATCTCCTACGTAGGACTTAGTATCTCCTACGTAGGACTTATTATCTCCTACGTCGGACTTACTATCTTCAACGTAGGATTTAATATCTCCTACGTAGGACCTACTATCACCTACGTAGGACTTAATATCTCCTACGTAGGACTTAGTATGGACTAGAATAACTATCTCCTACATTGATATTAAGTCCTAGGTAGGAGACAGTATCCTACGTAGGAGATACTAAGCCCTACGTCAGAGATACTAAGTCCTACGTAGGAGATACTTAGACCCCCCCAAAAAAGGAATTTTACAAATAATTCTCCAAGCACAATGGTAATGATTGTAACACAAAACATCATGTGCAGCCACTCACTCGAATACTAGTATGTAAAAAGGCCAAATCCTTTCTAATTAATAAAATAATCAAATATCAAAACATCGAGTGTGTACTGGTATTAGATTTAAGTTTATTTTTGGTCGTAAATGACATTTCTCACATGATGTTTTGGCCTCACGACTGATCAGTCCATGTGTTTGAACTTTCTATACATACATATGTACAAATTCACGTTGCATGGCTTTCATTATTTCTTTGGTTCTTCAGGCCTTACGACCAAACAGTCTATGATTTAAGCTACTATATGTACCAACCAATGTCGGAAGGCTTTCGTTATTTGTTTATGCCTTATATGCCCAGGCATGTGTTGTACGACCACTCGTCAATACAGTCAGTATTTTTACACATAGTTCATAATGGACAAAACAGTTATGATGAGTACTGTGGAAACGTTACTGCTAAACATATCACCACAGCCTCTGGAGTTATAATCACTTATAATTTCATGTTGTTTCTTATATGTCACTACCGTGTAACGTTTTCTGATTCTATTGATGCAGGAGGAGACAGAGGTTTCATGATGATGACATCCATAAACAAGTTGCAGAGTTTCACCCTAAAGTACAAGGTGATTGTCGTTTTCACTGAATATATTTATAAATATTTGAGACATGCTGTATATCTATCACATGAATGTTAATGAAGAAAAAACGAACAGTGAAAATATAGTCTTTGATCATAACAGTACATGGCATTTCATTTGTCTTTACCCATGCATAGTTCTATAATTGTTTGTATTATAAGGCGTACATGATCATGAGCTCATATGAAGATGTTTTTCGTGTTTAAATTAATATTTCATGCTTCCGTTTGAATTTAAATCAAAAAATCTTAGATTGTAGGTTCGAATCCTGGTTCGCCCCTATTATGTTTCCAGATATGTCACCACCAGTCCAGTGCTTATGGGTTTTTTTCGATGTTGTAAACGCCTGAGACCTGCAACACTTCGGGCTGTGATCCGATGTTATACTCACATGCCATAATGTAACTGTAATACTTCTCAAAGTAGCGTTAAACCTAACACACTCTTAATTGTAAGTGGTGAAAGAGATATTTGCTATTCAGATGAATATGTCTGCAGTTTGAGTGTTGACAATGATGAAACGGGTCACGTTAAAGTTTCCAAAACATCACAAAAAGGTTTGAATGAACTGGACAATTACCTTACTCCATTTCACGTCATTCATGCATGTGATGATGACTGTATACTTTCTATCCCTGTAGAGAACAGCATTTATGAGAACGTAGCTCTAGAGGAGAGCACGACAGTTAATCAGGAACCACCAATAAAGCCCAAGCCTGCCACACCGGCCCCGTCAGGTACGCCGCGTGATGCTAGAGACAAGGATCATGAGGAAGAAGACTTCAATGAAGATGTTCAATCTCCTGACAACTGTTACTATAACACAGGCGCCGATGCCCCCATAAGAGACGTCGCAGTGCCAGAACTAGCTGCGACGGTGGCAACACTTAGGGAGAGAAAAGATGGATTTGAAAAAGAATATCACGTGAGTCACCTGGCGCATATCCTGGCTGAAAGTTTATTGCATTGCATTCCTAGTTTGTGCCAGTGTTGTTAAAACAAACGTTTTACCCACAATGTACCTCTACAAAGAAAATAAATATGTGCCAGGGTTATTATTTACGGACTTTTCAGATCTGATTTTTCTTTTTGTCCCTACAGCGACTACCAGCTGGGTTCACGGCGCCGTATCAAGACTCCCAGAAACCTGAGAACAGTCGCAAGAACAAGTTCAGAGGCTACTACCCCTGTGAGTAAACTGAAATTGTTGAATTTACATGCAAGATGTCGGAGTAAGATTAAACTTCAACAACCAGAACCAACAGTTCAAGCAGCTTAATTCAACATTTCAGACGACCACAACCGAGTCCGCCTGACACCCCTCCCGGACATTCCCGGGTCTGACTACATCAACGCAAGTCTCATGCACGTCTGTACTTTTGCTGATATGTTTTTATCATTTCATTTAATGGTCATACTAATAACTTCACTGTTATGTTTGGAAGCTCGTTAGTCCTGACACAAGTAAATCAATCCAGAGCAACACATTTCTGGATCAACTAAAACTGTTGTATATAGATGTCCTAAAGCAAGATCTTAATCAAGGCAGGATTTTGCAAATTAAGAGATTTCCCCTCTGAAGAGATTTTTCGGAATATAATATATGTTAAGATGATTAATGGGGATGTCTGCAAGGTTTAACAATCTGACTGCCCTGTTCCTTTGTTTCAGAGCTACAACCAGAGAAAGACATATATTGCATCTCAAGGTGATCTTTTTCTACATGGATATTTTGGGTGTATTATATTTATTTGACAGATTCTTAATTCTTTTATAGTATAAGCTATAAACGGAATAGAATACCTAACTAGATATAAAGTAAACTGTCATCTAAAGGCCTGTTTAAGTTTCATGTTCATTACTGAAAATAAGCATTTAGGGGAGATTTGACAAGTGTTTGAATTTATATCATATACCAAGAGATTGAGGAACGGCTGAAATAATGTATTATTGTACACCAACCAATTAAAAGTGTTCCTCTTAATAAACACTCACCATTTTATGTGTCAAGCTCCCAACAAGAAGACAGTGGGAGACTTCTGGAGGATGATCTGGGAACATTCCTGCAGCGCTGTCGTCATGTTGACTGGTCTCACGGAGGAGTCTAGGGTAAAATTAAATGTTACGTAAAATTGCATTTTACTTTTGACCAAACCAAAATAGCAGAGCATATTAGGTAAGTAAACACCAATGGTTATTTCTTTTTTTCTAAATTTTAGGTCAAATGTGAACGGTACTGGCCGACAGATGGCGCCATGATCAGTGGTCTCTTCAAGATCGAGGTGGAGGTAACACAAAGCCGCGCGAACTTCACAAAGAGACACATGAAAGTCACGTCCAACACTGTGAGTGCTGAAAAAACCAATTACACTGCATGTCTTCAACTTTCCAGGTTATGTCAAGCAATATTCCAGAACCTCGCGCCTTTGGTGACTGCAGGCGTACAACAGCATGCTCTTTCTACGAAGATTTCAAAGAGCATACGACCAATCTATTTTAATGGTAGACATGTGGAGGAACAAAAATGATGTCCCATTCAATTCCCTTTTGACTTAGACTGGACCTTTAAGTATTTTTTTAATTGGCCACTTTACTTGGCTTCCAATGAAGAACACCTTCGAGAACACCTTTTGTCACAAAAAAATGATAGTTATTCATTGACACCTGCTTATCATATTGTCGGAATTGTACAATCAACTCTGCTTCAGCAAGGATTTCTTATGCTTCTTAAACGGGCTTTGTAGTTCTTAATTAGATTTGTTTGAAATAATAAATTAGCTGGGCAATTAGAACATGGATTGGCATTTGTTTCATGTTTGTTTTATTAACATCTTATTTCACAGACAGGAGAGAGTCGGACAGTTGTCCAGTTCCACTTTACATCCTGGCCTGACCACGGTGTTCCTGACACCCTCGCTCTTGTCAACTACATCTGGCTGGTCAGACAGACAGTTGCAGAGACAGATGGGCCTCTACTTGTCCACTGCAGGTAGTTTGTAAAGAATGTTCATAAGTAGACATTTCTATAGAAACATATTTGCAAGGTTTTAAAACAAATTCACAGTAATCATTCCTCAAAACATCACCGGCAAATGGCGACCGCCTCCGTGGTCTAGTGGTAGAGCGTCCGCCCGGAGAGCGGAAGGTCCGGGGTTCGATCCCCGATCGCGTCATACCAAAAGACGTTAAAAGATGGTACTTGTTGTTACCCTGTCTGGCGCTCGGCATTAAGGGGCTAAAACAAGGACTGGTCGGCTGGGAGTGGATAAACTGCGGCATGGTATCTCAGTGAGCTAGCACTATCAATCGGCATCAGTCCGGACTAGTACAAGAAGCCACACAAACACATGCACGTCGCTATATAAGCGCAATAATCTTGGACGCGACGTCAAACCTCATTTCACCTCACCTCACCACCGGCAAATGACGTGATGCTACATGTACATGCAAACATGTTCAAGGACTCGGTGAGATTGGTCAAATAAATATATTTGTGTTCATAAAATAACTAACCTTGTATAGGATGTACAATAACACACTTGTATACCTGTAGACTTTTTCAGTGCGGGTATTGGACGTACATGCACATATATGTATATCATGGACTATTTCAGTGCGGGTATTGGACGTACATGGACATATATGTATATCATGGACTATTTCAGCGCGGATATTGGACGTATTGGCACATATATGTATATCATGGACTATTTCAGCGCGGATATTGGACGTACGGGCACATATATGTATATCATGGACTATTTCAGTGCGGGTATTGGACGTACATGGACATATATGTATATCATGGACTATTTCAGTGCGGGTATTGGGCGTACAGGCACATACATCGCCGTGGACTCCCTGATAGACCAGGCCCGAGGGGAGGGGGTGGTGGATGTCTTTGGGTACGTGTCAGCCATGAGGGGACAGAGGAAGAACATGATACAGACTCCAGTAGGTGTATTTATCAGTAAAAATTGTCATGACAGAGAAATAAATCGTGGTTACAATAAACCCCCTTATTTCTCCATTACCTTTTGCTTCATATACTGATGGTGAGGCATCGGAGAACAACACAACACTTTAAACAAATTACATTCTGTGAAAGGTTGATATGCGTTCTCTTTTTCCGTCAATATTCTGAAGTCATGATTTGACGTACTTATTACAATGCTATTTTACCAAGGGAATAACAGTTCTTAAGTTGTGGTCTTTCACAATCACAGGCACAGTACGAGTGTGTCTTCCTCTGTCTGGTGGAGATGACGACATATGGCTGCACTAGCATGGACGTCTCCAACTACACCAACAGCTACAGCTGCAGCGGCATGGAAACCACCATGGACGGCAAGACTTTCAGACAGTTGTCAGAGGTAGTCAGTGTTGAAACATCAAGCGTTATGTTTGTAACAAAATAAATATTATTTCATCGTCATTACCCTCTTTAAAAATGCAAATGGAGAGAAGCTTCAGAAATAAGTGGATATTGTTTAACTCTTTTAAGCTCACGCAAAGACCCCAGATAGAAATAGAACTGTTTACAAAATCAAGACAAAAAAGGTCTGATTCAAAGCCCTGTAGTCAGTATATGCTTCATATAATGAAACATTATTGCCCTCATATAGAAGCTATATTTTTACCGACAGCACGTGTAGTGTACACACATCTATGTTCACAGATGCTAGTGTTAGAGACGCGAGAGGGTAAGTACACACACGATGTCAGTCACCTTTCAATCTCATACGAACAGCATGCTATGAAAGCATCTCTGAGGTCTCGTAAACGTTTCTAAGGCTAATCTAGCAACACATTCAAAAGTTGTTAATGTGTTATTGTCGCAAGACAACCCTAACAAGCGACTATCTTGTCCTCATTTCAATCCAGCCTCAGATTTCTCAAGAATGCAAAGCTTATTTATGTTAAGGTGCCTCTCCCTACGGAAAGTGTAAATATAACGTAATTTGAACAGTATTTGAAATATATCACGGCGAGTGAGCTAAATGTGGGTGAGCTGAAGTGATGCATTTCTTAAACGTTTCCTACTTTGCCTACAGTGCTCAACTGGGATTAGACCTCATGGAAATTGGTACATCGTATTGCAGTACAATTTCATCACAAGTAGAAAATAATTACTTTAATGGAACTGACCATCCGATTCACAAATTAGTTGACAGTACATGTGGGTGCCCCTTAACGAATATAAAATGCGATGAGTGTGTGAGTCAAAATGGTTTTACGCAGCAATATCAAGGGGGTGACACCAGAAATGGGCTTCACTTGTCTTCGGCTTGACGAGCGAAAGCTTTACCCACTAGGCTACCCCACCGTCCAATAATACGCAGGAAAACAGGTACAGAGAATCATTGTATTTAATAGCAACAAGACTGTCTGAGCCATCCCCTTAACTTGGATCTCTATAAAGACACTATATAATTCAGGTATTCATGTTATTATATTTTGCAGATGCTCCGACCCGACACAGAATGTGGGTGGATGGTAATGCTGACTTCATTGTCCGTGTGGGGCCGGTAGGTGGACATGATGCAAAAGGGATATTTGAAAATGTTTCAACTCTTATTCCCCAAAACAAAGTTTTATTTAACATGATTCAAAATCTGACGTTTGTCAAGTTGAAGACAAAACTGAGAGCACAATTCACTTCAAAGAAAGACATTCTGAACACATGAACCTTCTCATCTGTGCTGTAGACCCAAGGCATGGAGATAACACACACAACTGCACCTCATTTGCATCTGAATTCCCATTTAAAGTTGTTAGGGTAGAACGCTAATATTTGCAGCATGTATCTCCATCCATGACACCAGTATATCCCTCTTTCTAGTCACTGACATGTCTAAGGGGGTACCTGCAAGCCTCTGCTCCACCGCCGGAATTGGTAAAGTTGTTGTGGAAACTGGTAGAAGAGAATGATGTCCACAACATCATCGTCGTCACTCAAGACGTATGTAAATAAAAGAATTTGAATATATTTGTGCATCAATTTCTAGCCCTCCACAGCAAGAACATGTAATTCATTCTGATTGTATTTCACTTGAAGTAGGTGTTGAGAACTGCCTAAAGTTACTGTGCACATATGTACCCTGCACCATGTGGGAATGAAGACATAATATGTTTGAACATCCATTCCATTAGTATACATGCACCGGTAGGCGTTCCTATTGCTGTTGGGAGATTACTGAAATTTGGGAGATGTTCTGTTTAAGATGGGGCTTGTTGAAGCAGAGGGCAGGTCAAAGACGCATGGGGAGATTACTCTGACAACAACGAGTCAAACCAGCCTGTCGACAGACGTCACCGTGAACAACTTGCAGCTAGCTACAAAAGTAATAGTCCACCAGCTTACAGTATCAGAATACATGTCTACTGACAGATTTTCTTGACTAACCAAACGCATCAAATAAGTAAATGACATATAATATTAAGAATAGAGTTTGGTTTACTGAATACTTTGTTTGGTCACTGTCGAGTATTACTTTGATCCATCATCATTAGACCACTGGTGACAAACGATTTCAGTCACTACAGATATTGACTGAGCTCAATGAATCACTTAACATGGACATTTTTGTCGCTGTGCTATTAAGGAAATATCAATCATGAATGATAATCGTGGACGGTAGGAACACAGAAATTATTACACAAGAACTTCCTCAATAACGCATGTCCAAAACGTCAGCTTTAGACCGTCTGTGTGCCTACAGTTCATTTTTGTGATAAGATGAAAGGTACCATCCAAGTTGAATGCAGTAAGTAACGCTCTTTGAATTTCAACTCAACAAATGTTACCTGTCGATAGCTAACCACCAATATGTTTGTATGAATTGTTTTCTCCTGACAGCGGGATAAACAATAGGACAATGTATATGCAAGGAAGTTCACCCCGTTCTGTCAAAGGACATGCGGGTTGTTATTACCGTTCATAACATTTACAATTCCTTCACATAATCTCCGTGACAACTCATTCAACTATTGTTCTTTGAAATATAGTTTTTATAAATTATGTAAAATCAATTATTGACCACATTTCGGGCAATATCATGTTTTATGGACCCAAGAAACTGATATTGACCTTGATAACACAGGCAGGTAACAACAGCTGTTTGTATGAATTGTTTTCTCCTGACAGCGGGATAAACAATAGGACAATGTATATGCAAGGAAGTTCACCCCGTTCTGTCAAAGGACATGCGGGTTGTTATTACCGTTCATAACATTTACAATTGCTTCACATAATCTCCGTGACAACTCATTCAACTATTGTTCTTTGAAATATAGTTTTTATAAATTATGTAAAATCAATTATTGACCACATTTCGGGCAATATCATGTTTTATGGACCCAAGAAACTGATATTGACCTTGATAACACAGGCAGGTAACAACAGCTGTTTGTATGAATTGTTTTCTCCTGACAGCGAGATAAACAATAGGGCAATGTATATGCAAGGAAGTTAACCCCGTTCTGTCAAAGGACATGTGGGTCGTTATTACAGTTCATAATATTTACAATTGCTGCGTAAAATCTCCAATGCGCATATTTGAAATATATGTTTAATATATTATGTAATAAAACATTTATTGACCTAATTTGGGGCAATATCATGTTTTATGGACCCAAGAAACTGATTTTGACTTTGACCGCAATTTTCGGGGTCCATAAATACCCTCATGAAAGGTCACTAACTATTTGTCAATGTGTTACACAGGCAGGCAGCCCACGGCAAATCAAGATGGTCGACGTCAATGCAAGCTTAACTATGGAAGTTATGACATCACATTTGTTGAACCACGCCCAACTGCAAGAAATATCAACTCAACCCCACCCTGTTGTTGTTGTTCACAGGTGAGACTGCCGGCAGACGCGAAACAAATCATTTCTTTCTTTATACATACATTTTCTTAATCCTGAAACGCAATAACTATGACAAGAAATCATACTCAAACTGTGTCTATGTTCACCTGCAGCGACACTGATCGAAGGCTTGCTGTCTCGCTCTGCATTATGGGTAATATTCTGTCCGGTATTCGTGAGGACACTCGTGTCGACGTCATCGGTCACGTGAGGACATTCCTCAGATGTTGCCCTGACTTCCAGTTCACCCAGGTAATCACACTGGAGTTCTCAGTTTACCGTTGTGTTATATTTACAAAATGAAATATACATACTAAATCCATATGATACAAACACATAAAAAACCTTCAACACATACCAAAATGCACACAGGCAATATTGGGGTAACGTTTACATTTGTCACTGTGTGTCCTCGCCCTTGACATCGACTTTAGAAGTACTGTCACGTCCACTGTAAACAATCCTCTTTCTCTCTGTTGACATTGAGGTGAAGTGAAAGTTAGTGGGAATTCCAGGACTCTGATCATCATGTAGGAAACTGGGGTGAAGGTGAGGTGAAATGGGGTTTAACGTCGCGTCCAAGATTATTGCACTTATATAGCGACGTGCATGCACGTGTATGTGTGTGTATGGCTGCTTGTACTATTCCGGACTGATGCCAATTTATAGTGCTAGCACACTGAGATACCATGCCGCAGTTTAACATGAATACCCCACTCAGACACAGTATACTGACTACGAGCCGACCAGTCCTTGTTTTAGCCCCTTAATGCCGAGCGCCAGACAGGGTAACAACAAGTACCATCTTTTAACGTATTTTGGTATGACGCGGCTGGGGATCGAACCCCGGACCTTCCGCTCTCCGGTCGGACGCTCTACCATTAGACCACAGAGGCGGTCAGGAATCTAGGAGTTGAACACCTTGGAAGGTGCCAGGAACATTGAATTAAAATCAGTTGTGCCACAGATGATTGGCTCAAAGCTAGCAGATAGATGATCGCTGTTGACTAGAGCTCTTTATGTCACTCAAGTTATTTGAGGGTTACTGTACTTCTAGGAATTTGATTGCCACTGACGAATATTATTCCTAATGTTTCAGTGCTGAACATAGTGATTTATGCATCCTTGTGATAACTCATGCTTTTCGTACGTACGACACTATCTGTTGTGTAATACATGGTGGTCGGAGCCTTTGGTGTCTCCTCAAACCATGGTAGAATTGGATTTTATCTATGGCCATCTAGCCCAAAAGTAATCCAGTATAAAGCAATTCGATCCACTTTCAATATCTAGAATTTGGTTTTGGTTTTTCAGAGTGATGTGCAGATGTTTCATGACTTCGCCCAGCAGTGCATTCTGAGGACAGACCCAGCAAATACCTATGCCAACATCTGAACTTAACACCAAACATTCCTAATGGACCACATTACACAAGTACCTGTGCTAAAATCCTAACCTAGGGCTGAACAATGCAGTTTAACACTGATGCCAATTTGCGAACATAAACAAGTCTCCATATGCGTTCACAGCTTCCGACACACATACAGTAGGCTAATGTCAAACATAAATCTTTTTATTATACAATGCATTTCTTTCAAGTTAACACTTGCATTATTCATGCAGTGACAGTGCCTTAAAAGAATCAAAGGAATGCATTGCCTGTGTTGTCACGGATATACACAGACTCCACACGAAATCGATTCAATGATCAAACTTGTTATTGAAATTAGACAAGCAGCATATTCAATTTGTAATGAGTAATGAGTTGACACATGATGAACTTCTTATTGACACAGAACACTCATCTCCCTATGCAGAACCAGTAACAAATATGTATAATAGCTAATTGTCTACATTGTTTCTAAAGAACTAATGTCATTGTCATTTGCAGTTGTGTATCATTGTGTCGTAATCATGCTGCATTCTTGCAATGTTAATAGGCACCAAATGTTAGATTTCTTATTTGTGTTGTTTCACTGAAAACTACACCACCTCTTGTCACATGAAGCTATTACCAATAATGACCGCATCAAGTCTCACGGACAGAATGGGAGACGAGGAATCTCAGGGATGAACTTCATGTTCTTCTGACTCGGCGTTGAGTGACTACAGGTCACACGGAAAAACTGGATTTTTTTATCGTGGTACACATGTGGAAGACATTCCCAAAAATTTACGCAATTTGCTTGTGTTTGTGACGGGTGCCACTGGTTTGAAAGGCTCACCAGCTGTTGCACCTGGTGTTAATACTATTTGATAGTGATTCATAAACACGGGGCGGGCGGGTAGCCTAGTGGTTTAAGCGTTCGCTCGTCAAGCCGAAGACCCGGGTTCGATTCCCGACATGGGTACAATGTGTGAAGCCCATTTCAGGTGTCTCCCGCAGTGATATTGCTGGAATATTGCTAAAAGCGGCGTAAAACTATACTCACTCACTCAATTCATGAACACATTCTTGTGAAGCAGCTTTCTAAATCTTAGTTTAAGGCGAACTCTTGTCTTATATTTTATACGACTCCAAACCACAGTATTTAATGAAGGAATTTCAAGTACCCATATATAGTTTTCACGGAATCAATAATTTCACATAGATGGGTATACGTACTTCTTCCACAGAATTTCACATGGATTCGAACTCGTTCCACTACATTGCGCATCGACTGCTCCCAGTTCCTCATAATTGCACATAGATTGGTAAAAGCGTCACATACTTTCTCAGTCAGCGTCTATGATTTAGCACTCATTGTAGCTGCAAACTTCGTCAATATGGTCATAAACAATATGCTTTTAAGGGGAACCAACAAGATCATCATCTAAATTTAAACTGAATATCTTGTCGCAGGCCTGTGATATGGCTACTACAAATGTTATGAAGTAACTGTTCTATGCTGAAGTGCACATATTGATGCTGACATCGATCTACTGTTTTTCTTGCTTATGGACCATTGTCACAGGTTTAGGTAACATCAAATGCTCTGCATTTGTAGATATACATAAACAATGTTTAGAAGGTATATACATCATATTTGTGCGCGATGTGTGTATTCATTAATGTACGCCCAATAGTAATTTGAATATTGCCACTATCAAATCGTTGTATCTAATAAATTCTGTTGTTTGTTTTGTGTTTTTTTGCTTGACCAGGAAAGCTTTTTATTTCTAAATGTGAAGTATAGTTCATTTCATATATTTTTCTGTATCACAAATATTATTTAGTATCAATTTGTCTATTTCACATTCTTACCTTTTTGCAATAATTAAAGTAATCAATGCAAACAATGGATTGTTGACATTTGTATTTTATTTTACTGCCAAACGGGTGTTATTACTATTTGATAGTGATTCATAAACACGGGGCGGGCGGGTAGCCTAGTGGTTAAAGCGTTCGCTCGTCACGCCGGAGACCTAGGTTCGATTCTCGACATGGGTACAATGTGTGAAGCCCATTGCTGGTGTCCCCCGCTGTGATATTGCTGGAATATTGCTAAAAGCGGCGTAAAGCCAAACTCACTCACTCACTTACTGCCAACACTTCTCTATTGTTATTTTATGACCAATGTATAATCACCAATGAATTGCACCCAAGTATTCCATCAGTCACGCTTGGACATGAAGGTGGATCGGTTCTCACGAGCGCGCTTGTCCGATTCAGTTCTTAAGAACACACTCAAAAGTAAACTTCAGGCTCTATTGTGAAGCTTTCTGTTTTCACTCTGCCCTGAAAGCAATCGTTCGAAACTAAAATATATTCACTGATGAGGGACAAGCTCTACACTCCCGATAAGAGAAAATATTTCACTAGTGGGTCTAATTCGTTTATACTTATTTAACAAAGTGCTTTTCTATCAAGAGTATTGTACTACTTTCATTTTATGGTCACTTCGTTTCAAATGTGCATCTAATAATGTCGTACTTTGGAACCGGAATATCCTGTACAACATATGACTACAATAGGATCATCTAGGCAACGATATAACGATATAAACTTGTATTACGACTTTAGTTTTTGTTATAACTTACCGTTGCTAGAACGTGTCTTACATTTCACTGTTGTGTGTGAATAGACAGTCATCTACGCGATCCACAGCATAATCCAATTGAGTTCAACACAATAATACTTCAAACACGTCATTACTTGACAAGTATTAATTAAAACCATTCAACGGTAATCCTTTATCATTCAGGAATTACAGTTATCATATTGCTAAGGTTATTGTAACTCCCATACTTTAACATAGACTGTCGTCGCTACGATCGCCTTGCGGAATGGGGCCGTGCACCACGAAGTTAACAACCACGTCACAATACCCTATAACGTAATTTGTGTAACCTCAGCGATCATCGAATATGCAAAAGCTCTTCCCACTGATCCATCATCTCCGCACGCAATGTCGTTACATTAGCCAAGTGATGTTAAGAGTTTTCCCTTTTTTTTAGTGAAACTTGTTCCCGTAGAAAATAAACGGGTGATCTCTTCACGGGCGAGTAATAAATGTGAGTTCGAAATCTATGAAAAACATAGTGCATATACTTTCCTCCGAGAGTATAAATTGTCTACATAAAGCCATTTAACTCACAGTTTCCAGTAATATGTTGCAAGTATGGCGGTGTGTTCTGTCATTCATGTATAAAGCTCCTTACACTGCCGCCAGTGTAGGCGCGACCATTACAAGAATTTTAAAATTTGACCTCTATCCCCAAATGAAGTAATGTTATACTTTGTTTATGTCTTTGGAAATGCAATCATAGTGAGTTTTGAACACGTTTACGCCTCACCATATTTCCCAGATGAATTAACCTTCTTGTCTATCTACATTGGTTCGAGAGTGCAGACGAACGGAAAAGCAGCCAACTTCCGCCTTACAAGTTTTACTATAGGATTAGAGTATTCCGCCTCACGGTAGCCACCTTTCAGATTGTGGAGCTTTCAGTGGTGGCAGCGATAGTATAGATAGCCCCCACGAACGGGATATCGCTGTGAGGAGCTTGATTCATGTAGGTGTTCAGGTGGACAATGATGTTTCCCTTGCTTCCAGGTGAACTGACTTGCCTTTGTAAGTGTTTGTGACGGATGGCAGCGATGGGGGAGGACACGTGCACCTTTTTCGCGAACACCTGGTACAATCACTATTTGATAGTGATTCATAAACATGTGCTCATGGTATAGTCAGAATTGTGCTCTGTTGTTGACAATGCTTTCTTTTACTGTTACCAGAAACTAATATATGTTACAAGTTTGGAAATTAAGCTATTTCCGCGTAACGACATGAAGGCCATGACCATGATACGTTGTGTTCGATATGTTTTACGAATGTAACAGTTTATAATATATACCTCGTTTTATTCTGTGATTCTATGCATCTGTCCCGGGATGTTGATATCTGATTTCCCAACTGGTCTGGTGTACAAGTGTGCGCCTTCAGGATCCAAAACAGTCCTTCCCAAATTGCCTCTGCACATTGTTCATTTCCATCCAAAACGTACAGGGAGTTTAAGTTCGAATATTACCGGTAATTTGTTCGAGAACAATACACTGTCAAGAGATGTTCTGCCACGAGATCATCACAGGGTTATTTCATCATGGCAATATTTTCATCTTATTTCAACACCTGCAGTCGCTATTTGGTACATCTGAAGATCCTCCCATGATTGGACGTATCCTCGATGGCAGAAACAACATGCATGTAAATAGGCATATATTGAAACATTCGGAGTATTTGTCATCAGCAAAAGTAGTGCATTGTTCGTACGGAAAGTAATCAGACCACTTTCAAATATAAAACGCAAACGCCAGAGAATAATATTGTTAGAAAAGATAATTTTGAATATTTGTTAACACATATTAATGCTGAATACTTAAAGTCAGCAAATATTATTGATCTACTCAATTATAACACGCAAGGTAGTCATTTCCTCTCCTTTGATTCGGCTTTACCTCAACATACAAATTGTGTGAATACTTACATATCATTTTGTGAGCCAGTGCACTATGACTACAATACTTACCTTCTCTTCCATATCTCTAGGCCAGGCACCATATTACACACACACACACACACACACACACACACACACACACACACACACACACACACACACACACACACACACACACACACACACACACATTTCTGTGACCATCACGTTCAACTGGCTGTCACCAACATACAAACGGCCCCAACAGACCAAATATACTTGCAATGAACTACTCAAACAGTGTGCTAGATTGACAAGTTCATTTAGTTATTGCCCATAGTTGAAACTGAGTCAAGATTAGAACTTTTTTTACCAGCCCTCGCATGTCACATTGGTATGAAGTACATTGTAAAGCTGTGTATGCATTTGTGGTAACATTGCGACGAGATACATTGTGACTATAAATATATGTCACTTTGCTGCAATACGGCCCTTTTGTAACAAACATGCATATAATCTTGTCAAAATAAGCTTTTATATGGACGACAGGACAATTTCCCAACACCAAAGTCGAACATCTGTACCTGTGGTTTCATGACATATGTATTTCCTCAATGATTTATGAACGAAAGCGGTGTGACTCCATGTACATACTTTAACCAGCTTGTTTGATAGGCATTTAAAAGTTGGAGTGCTAATTAAGGATAAGATTTATGGATGAACAACTTCTTTCTTACAATCAGGAGCGACGTTTCGGTGTAGGTTCTAACTTCGTTATCAAGCAAGTGATGTACAGAGTATGGTTGACAAGTGTATATACAGGTATGAGGCAATGTTTATACGGTAGCGTAAATATTAGATGTAGTTATACTGGAGTGGAGAAGCATGCTATGTACACAAAGCTATTGATCGCCGAAGTCAGAAATATAAGGACTTTAAAATCAGAAAACTCCAAGAAGCCATCAACATCAAAGGACTCCAACCGTCAATCAACCGTGACCAAAGCTATTACATATCCCCGGCGTACCATCAACACATCAAAGACCCAAATCACCCTTTTGTTTATGCTCTGGTTTGGCAACTGCTCAGTACTAGCAACTAGATCACACTGGCATGCTACGGAGGATTATACGTCGGATCCCATACCAAAGTACCTTGCGTTCACTCACAGCTTCAGATTATTTATTACTCAAATCAGAGACCATATAATAAAGGGACGGCCCTCTAGCCTATGCGCGAAACCATCAGTGCTACGGCTTGTACTGCGCAGCCTGTCCGGAAGCGAGCAGAAACGCGTTCACTGCAGTCATCGTTGTCGCCTTTTTTACCCACGCAAAATATATATTTCACAATACATATTTACACTCATGTATTTCTTAACATTGTTAACATTACAACTGAGATTTGCTGGTGCCCTAAAGCATGTTGTTGTCACTGTATTTGATGACTGAGATCACGCTTTGTCTTTGTCCGAGAGAACAAAATGGCGCACATGTAAAATTAGCAAAAGTGCAGATTTTGATTTCAATAATGGCCTCTAATTCGCAATGAAAGTCCTTGGTTACCGAGGTGTATAAAAAGGAGATATGTTAAAAATTGGCTTGTGCCATTAACAAATTCAGGGCGGATGCAAAATTTCAGATTTTGACTCCAGAAATGGGACTAAATCTGAATTTTCCTGAAATAATTACACCCCAACTCTTAATTTTCGCATGCTTTCAGACGAATGTGTTCCTATTATCGGTCCTGAATTAAAAAGTTTTACATTCATCACTATTTCCCCTTTGGCTTGGTACCAAAGATATTAAGGTACGATCGGTAAGTTTTTTGGTATGATTTTTGGCGCAAGGCCATATTTTACGTCACATATTTTAAGTTAAATTACCATATAGCAGACGACATAACATGCATTTTGTATGTGATTATCAACCACATATATCGTTTGAAACATTCTACAAAGTGACTTATATTGTATGATATTAGAATTGTTTTTGTAAGACGCGTATTATTTTTACCATTGATTTCGCCATTACTTCGTAAGTTTAACTTTGTTTCAGTTAAGCTTCTATAACATATCGCGCATATACTACATACTACACACTACATATTGGGTATCTTCTGTAGATTTTGTCTGTATTAATCATGGCTACATTTAATCAATTATTTATTTTATGCCGTGTAAATATTGATTATGAGCTATATGATA